GTTTATGAAAAATTAAATGGTCAAATGGACACTCAAGGGATTGGATTCAATGAATTGGACACTTTCATCGAATCAAAGAAATTTACCCTTGAATCTACTTTCAAACTTGGATGCATTCAAAAACCCGACTTTACTCCAAAACCAAAAGCAAATTTTAAAAGAGTTAAAGTCGATGGAAAAACTGTCGTTTCAAGACAGGATTTTGAAACTGTGGTATACGAGAACAGTACAAGTAAGAATTCTGATGGAAGAAATGACACTTCTAAATCAGAAACCGATGGAAACCCTATGGTTAAACCAGAATCTCTGATTGTCAATTTCACTCCATCAGCAAGTACCGTTGATGAAAAAGAGAATTCTAATGGGGAAACATCAGCTGATGAATTGATGAACCATTCAAGTAAAATTGAAAGTTCATCAAAGTCAGAGTCGATGAAACCTCAAGCAGATCACTCTGAAGCATCAACCTCTGAACCCACATCTTCCACTTCAATCCATGCTAATTTTGATTTTGATAAATCAGCAATAGACTTTCTCGATTCTGAATCCGAAGAAGAGTTAATTTGTGAATCACCAAAGATCATTGAGAGTAAAAATCCTAAAAACTTAAAACCCTAATTGAAATATGGTATTCCTTCATCGAGGAAATCTTCAGACAAAAGAAAGGGAAAATTGAAATATAGCAAATCTGCCAAAGATAACTCACAAGCCCCTAGTACATCTTTCAAGTTCATCAAGTTTACTCATGAGCAAAAACAGAAGTGGCCTACCTCTGAGAAAACTAACCACGACTTTTCCTCTCATTCAGCTGAAGAAAAGCAAACCTTCCTCAGGAGAACAGAAGTAAAGCCAAAGACCTCTTCAAATAATAAATTTGAACTAGATAGGAAGTTTGTAAAAACAACCGATGCTAGGACAGGATTTACACCTAGATTTACTTCTTTGTTTCCATTGAATAAAAAGAACGTTAGACATACAAATTCAAAGCATCATCATTGTCAATGTTTAACTCTTTTACAAACCCTGAGGAATCACATGTTGACATATCACTGTCCCTTCTCACAACACGTTTATCGATACAAAGTTAGAACCAATGAAAACGTGAAAAAACCCAAACCCAAGGACAAGGGAAATTCAAATAAACCAAAGCCTGCAAAGGCTATGGGCGATGAAAAGAGTGTGAAATCCCCTACTAACAAACGAGGACCCATTATGAAATGGGTACCTAAATCCCCTTAATTTGTCTTGCAAGACCAACATGTGCAACCATGGTACATGGACTCAGGTTGCTCCAGGCACATGACTGGTGACATAAGTCAGCTGACTTCCTTCATCGAAAAATCTGGAGGCTCTATGACTTTTGGAGACAACAGCAAGGTTACTATCAAGGGATATGGCACTCTCATCAAAGGAAACATCTCCAAAAGCAAAGTGGCTTATGTCGAAGGATTGAAGCACAACCTTTTAAGCATAAGCCAGTTCTGCGAAGGGTCTTGAAGTCAGGTTTCGTAAAGGTTTCTACATCATAGAAACAAAGCCCGATCACACAATCATCAAGGCAAAGAGAGAAGGAAATCTCCATCTTCTAGATTTTGAGTCCTCCATGGGACAAGACACCCTTTGTCTTGTATCTCATAAGAGCGATGAAAATTGGCTATGGCATCAGAAATTCTCATATCTCAACTTTGATGTACTAAGAAAACTAGCCAGACAGAAGTTGGTCAAGGGAATT